GAAAGTCCCCCCCCCCCCCCCGTGCTGCCCGGGCTGAGAACAGAAGGTCTCAGGGGTGGGGGGACGTGATGTGACACGGGTTTAGGTGATGGGCCCGCACGTCCCTGTGGGGCGCTGGGCCAGCAGGTCTGGCCAGGGCTCAGCTGCCCCCCCCCCCCCGAAGCCCGGCCAAGGTTTGCAGAAACGGGGTCGATTGCTGCTGAGCATCTCCCAGAGGCCTTGCCCGGCGGGGGAGCGTGCCCACTCTGCCCACCGGTGAGAGCCCACCCCGGGCTGGGAGCTGCAGCGCTGGGCTGGGAGCAGGGCAGGCTCCGTGCACGCTGATACTTGGCCGCTGAGCCCCAGTGTTCTGTCCTGCGGGTGGGTAGAGTTCCCAGTCGCTCTCAGATAGAAATGTTGAGTTGTTTGGAAGGCAAACAGAAAGGCTGGAGAAATGGCTGTTACCCGACGACTGCAGTAGCTGCTTTGTGGTCAGGTGGGTCTGTGGCTTTTAGTGCTTTTACCTCTGAAACGAAAGTGAGATCTTGATAAAACACATGAGCACTTCAGTCCTCCCAGAACCGCTCCCTCTTCTCTAAGGATGGGGTGTGGGAAAGGTGGGCTGGCCTCAGCCCAAACCCACAGGCAGCTCTGGTAACCCCCAGCCTTGTGCTGGGGGTGATTTAGGATTGATGGCGAAATAGGGACCTGACTGTGAGCGGGAGAATTTGGACCCAGGCGAGACCCGTGATGGAGGTAGCTGCCCTGTGGGACTTCAGGCCCTGCAGCCGTCCCTAGGCTGGGACACAGGCCAGTGCTGCAGCCACAGTTATTCATAGGGACGTGCCAAGAGACGTGGCTGTGAAGCCGGAGCTGCTCTGAGTCCACCAGGGCTGACCTCCCTGTGTGCCACGGGGGTCCCCAGCTAGTGCTGCTCTCTCCCTCGGTGAGAGCTGTGAAGCAAAGCCCTGCCAGGCTGAGATTTGAACCTTGAGGGGCTTAAAACTGTCTGTGATACTTCAGTAATAACATCGGTTCAGGATTTGGCCCTTAAGCCTGGACTTTCTGGGCTGGGTCTTGCAGGGCGTGTGTCATCTAAGGACCCCCCCACCTGGGGAACAGGGAGAGCTGGTGGGAAGAGGCGGCTCGCCAGCAGCTCGCTTCTCCAGTGCTCTCACACAATGCTTTCTTTTTTTTTTCCCTTAAAAAAAGGAACTTGTCCCGTTTCACATCCTGCCTGCCAGGAATGGCACTGTCTCTTCCACTGAATCCTCTTGCCTTCCCCTGGCTTCGTGCAGACCAGTTTCCTGCAGGGAGCCCCAGCGGACACAGGAGATGCAGGAGAAGGCAGCTGTGCACAGGTACCACCTAATTAAAGGGGAAAGAGCAGGTCCAGTTTCTCTTTTCAATGATTTGTGGGACTGGGGGGAAGCAGCAACTCCCCTCTCAGGTCCCTAATTGCCTTGGGCTTGGGAGGGAGCACAGGAATTGTCCTTTCCTTTAGCTGCCAGGGCAGGAGCTTGAAGAAAAAACCTCTCAAGCATCTTTCCAGTCCTACTTTTCTGCTTACGTGTTCTTGTCCCCCCTTACAGACGGTGTCATGGTCCATGCAGCACTGCCAAACTCTTCCCCATGTTTGGAGAGTGAGTGCCCACCCTCCCGCAGGTCAGGAGGAGGATGGTGAGGCAGCATGAGGCTGTTTGGGGTTCCCTCACCAGGAGATGGAGGAGATGGCCCTTGTCGGAGGACATTCAGGGCTGAGAGCAGGCCCCCTGCCCATCCCCAAATGCAGCCACCACTTGGGGTGCGGGGAGGTGAGTGGGTGGCCCAGTTGTCCAAGCTGGTCATGCGTGGGGCAGAGCATGGCAAAGGCTCAAGCAGGTCCTGCCTTTTCTTCTGCCTGATTTAGAGCAATCCTGCCTGCGAAGCAGGGTGGTCGTGGTCCCCATGCACTGGGAGTGACCCCTGGTCCCCCTTCTTTCTCCTTTCCCGATCACCCCTGGGCTCTATCTGGTCGTGGCA